CCTTGCTACCATTCCATAATCAATCTGCTGAGAAATCCCAAGCTTACCATAGCTAGGGATCTAACCAGTCCATTTCTAAAACTTATACGGCCCCGAACTAGCGAGACATACCGAGTCTCTCCACGGCATGCTACAGTTACTTCATCCTAAGCGACCTTCTCCAATAGAACCCATCCCTTAACTACTATCCAAAAATCCAAGGTATGCAGATGGCATATAACTCGATCACAATCAAGCCACTCAAAACTAAAATACTCATACCGATAATGATGCAGAACCATAACAACATAATTATGCAAAAAAAAGAACTAAAAACGAAAGTAGCATACCTGCAACATCCGGCGCTGCTCGCGTCTCCAAGGTAGCCATCTGAAAAGCCCTGCCTCCTACCACAGACGCCTCTGCACGGCCCCGACAGCCGTCTGTGATCCTCAAAGTTGCAGGGGCAGGTGCTATCACCCGTCCTACTGAAAACAAACTGGGGTACTGGGCCTTCTTGTGGCCCCGCTGATTATAGTGAAAACATATCAAATCTGATCCCTGAGTGGTGGTAACAGTACAATCCCTGCTAAAATGACCAGTCCGACCGCACTTGAAGCAGCCAGACTTCCCACTGCTACCACTCCTGCACGCGCCCCCGTGCGCCCTGCCACACTTCCCGCTTCGAATGCGGTCCTGATAATCCCTCGATCTCGAATCCGATCCCTTGGGCCTTTTGCCCGAACTCGCGGCTACCTGAACCTCATCCGGCTTCCTCTTCCAGATCCGCTCCAAATCAATTTCCCTCCCCCTGGCCCGAGAAATCATATCTTCCAACGTCTTACAACCGGACTTGCTCACGAACTCCCTGATGTCAGCCCTCAGCATCTCCTGATATCGGGCCTTCTTCATCTCCTCATCTGCGACATACTGCGGTACGAGAAGAGCCCTCTCCCTGAACTTGGCAGTGATCTCCACCACAGTCTTAGTGGTCTGCATCAAATCCTGAAACTCCCGTGCCAACTGCTGCACCTCAATAATTGGCGAAAACTCCGCCCTGAACCTGGCTGAAAAATCGCTCCAAGTCATCGCGTCCAACGTGGCATCATCACCCAAAGCATGACCAATCTCTTCCCACCAATCCCTCGCTATGTCCTTCAGAAGACAGGAAGCGAGTCTGACCTTGTCCTCCTTAGGACCCCGGCTCGTACGGAACACGTTGGCAACATTAGCCAACCATCTGCTGCTAGCGATGGGGTCCCTAGCCCCATGATAATCTGGTGCCCCGCAAGCCCTGAACTCCCGAAATGGCAAGGTACGCGCTCCCATCAATGCCATCATCTCAGTACGAAAGGCTCCCAACCTCTCATCCAAAATCTCCAATATACCCTCCTTGACCGTGCCAAAGATCACAGGAGTCTGATCTAGAATATCGCGCGTAACATCAGCTGCTATCAACTCCCTCATCCGCTCCTCGAGCTGCTCGGCCCCTGAATCCGAGCCTGATCCCTCTCCGGTGCCTGATCCGCCCACTGGTCTCTTTCGCAACGTCACCATGCTGAAACATATAACATAACCACTATCAGAATACTCTCCACTGCTGCGAGGCCAAACATACGTACTACCAGGTTCCCGGTCTTGTCTTAGCCTTTCCCAAATCGAGTACGAATCCTCTACTTTCAGTAGTACAGGCCCATACTACTTTGACTCCACCAGGTCCTTTTTTCTACTACTACTGCTCCCAATACTATCTCATCCTAGGCTTGCCATAGGGAAACCTCTGACTCAAACCAAAACCAATCCTCAGCTGCTGAGGTCTCCTTGTGATGCCAATTAACCATCACCTGGATACCATCACATGTGATGAGGCTCAGATAATCCTTCAAGTAAAAGACTCGTCCCTACCACGGTTGGACTCAAACAAGAGCTGCGCAATAGGACCAAACCTAGCACTTTGAGATTATTCAACCCTGATCACATGTGATGTGTCGTATCCACCTAATGGCTAACTCCCATCACTCAGAATCCCACAATGCACAAAGCAAGCAACATTCAGACAAGGTAAAATCTAACCATACATACTCAAACAATCATATCAATATAGCAAGAATCTGAACTAGCATGCAACACAAACTCATAAACTCAGGCATAACCTAAACATGCTACCCTACTACTATTAACTGATAATCAAAACATAAGGCATCCTTCCTGGATACTTAGTCCTAATCTAGCATGTTGTTCTATTAACTGATAATCAAAACATAGACTTGTATGGGTATTTTGGGGTACTTACTTGAGCTCGGTTGATTGCATGCACCACACATCTTTTCTCTTTTCAAAGTTCTTTTCTTTCTGAATTCTTTTTGCTTTTCTAAAACTGTTTTCTTTCTCAAAACTCTCTTTTAACAAAACTGTCTTTTCGTTTTGATAACTTCTATACTAATTCCTCAATTTGAGTTCAGACACACCCGAGAGCATGTCCGAATCCCTCAAACCAAGGCTCTGATACCAACTTGTAACGACCCAAAATTCAAGACTAAAAATTTCTTTTAATAAAACATTACTTAAAGCGAAGTCATCATTCCAAAACATAAACATAGTATTAATTTTCAAAACACATGTTCGTTATCAGAGTAAAACATTCCCATGTTGTCTAATCAATGGTGTGTACCATGCGATCACCCCGAGCTCTTCCCTCCGCTACCAGAAGTACCTGAAACCAAAACGGAAAACCATAAGCACGAAGCTTAGTGAGTTCCCCACCCTACCACATACCATACATAACCACATACTGCACATATTGGGCCACGCCCGCTATCTTGGGCCTCGCCCCCTGCCTCGGGCCTCGCCCGCTATAACGGTCCTGCTTGGCTTCGAGCCCCGCTCGGATACAAATCTGTTTTACTTAGGCCTCGCCTGTCACAGGGCCCCGCCCGCCAACAAATAATAACACATAAACATATCACAGGGCCTCGCCCGCCAACAAATAATATCACATAAACATATCACAACAAATAAGCTAAACTCATACGACTGATCCTATCCTAAGGCCTCGCCTATCCTGGACCTCGCCCTTGTCCTACTACTGATGAGTCATGGAACCCCGTCCACGCTTCTACTGGTAGTGAGATATGGGCCCAGCCCACTCTTACTCTTCCCTAACTTGGGTCTCGCCCCTATTCTGCTACTAATGAAATGTGGAACACCATCCACACTCTGTTATTGGTGAGATACGGGACCTCGCCCACACTCACCTCCCTACTAGGCACATACATGTATCACACAGACAACAAGTATAAACTATCATATAAACAAATCCTTGGGCACCCGCCCGCTATTAATGGACCTCGTCCTGAATATCATACTAGCATACTGTGCCTAGGGCTAACCCCCGAGCCTTCTACTCATAACTACATGGGCCGACATTGTGGCCTTAGACTCATTCACACAAAGGGAAACTCACCTGCACTGGCTGAACTTGCTGATGATCTCACTAGTTGCTGCCCGACAACTCTCTGAACTCCTGCTCCCCTTGCTCCCCGAACTACCAATATCAATGAAACACTGAGTCTAACCGACCCCCGAGAGACAACCAAGTCAACTCTGGTCAAAGTCAAAGTCCTGGTCAAAGTCAACCTTCCAGGTCAACCCTACTCGCCGAGTCACCCTACTGACTCGTTGAGTTCATATGTTTAGAGTCCTTTCATTCGCGTCTCGACTCACCGAGTCTACGGATTTCTGAGTCCTGACCTGACCAACTCACCGAGTCTCCATTCGACTCACTAATTTGAGTCTCATCTCGAAGGGTTTAAGGTATCGCGACCCGACTCGCCGAGTCCAAGAACAGACTCGCCGAGTACAAGGTAATCTTTAATAGACTCGCTGAGTTGTTCTTCCAACTCGCCGAGTTCCTGCCCAACTTCATCCAACTCGCCGAGTCCACCCATGTGACTCGCCGAGTTTCACTAGTTCTTAATCCATACAGTGGCTTTTCGAGCCATGCAGGGGCTTCAACTCATGGATCCATACTCCCAAAGCTCAATCCTCACATAAAGTTGCAAACTTTACGTATAACTAAAGATATCTAGGCTCAAAACACTCTAGGGCTAGGTTTAGGGACAAAAGGGCTTCACCAACTCCTCATCTTTTGATGCTTTATGACATATTAGACCATCCCAACACTAGATCTGAAGTGGCAACAACATATCTAGGCCCCAAACTCGAATTGGGTCTCCAACAACCATAAAAACCCCCCAAATCTCATAACAAAAGTAGATCTAGATGCAAAGGAGGGAAGATAACAACTTATTACCTCCAAGATGAACACAACTGAAGTAGATCTCGGATCTACACCTCCCCTTTTGAAGCAACCTTCTTGATCTTCAAGTCCCTTTCCAAACTTTTCTTCCTTCAAAGCTATTTCTCTCAAATGATGGAAGCTCACACGAAATCAAGGGTTTACAGGTTCTCTAGGATGATATGGAGGCCGAGGGAGGGATATAACACCCTTTAAATAGGATACAACTCCCGGGATTAGGGTTTTCCTCGTTCAGACCAGACTCGCCGAGTCACCTTGGCCGACTCGTGGAGTCGGTTACTTACTCCTCAACCCGGATCCCGCTCGGACTCGCTGAGTTCCTCCTTGGACTCATCGAGTCGCCCCTTAAAATTAGGGTTTTCTTTCCTTTTCTTGGCCTTCCAGACTTTGGGTGTTACACTTCCCTCAACTTCAGACAATGCTAACTTTTTTGCATTCCTACACTGCCCAACACTCATATTAATGTTGTATCTCTTAGATACCAGGGCATTCATTTTCCTCAAACTCAATTTAGGACTCTCTAAAACATCATTCACAAATTGTTTCCTTATCCATTTATATGTTACAATTGACCCAAGTTTGAATGCCCTAGAGCGCTTGTGCTATGTTATAAGAGACTTAATTTGAAAAGTGTGTTCCGCTTTCATCCAGGAAGCATACAATCTAAAAGGGCATGTTGGATTCTTTCCTTTACAACACCTAACTAGTAACCTACTCTTGTCATTCTTGTCATACCACATATCATAACCATTTGCTACAACATAGCAACTAAGAGAGTATTTAAGTTCAATAGTAGTAGAGTATTTCATACCTAATCGCGGCTTCATCTCATTCCATTCCTGAGTATGATCATGTCTTGGGTAGATAGTCCGTATTGCATTATGATCTTCTTCAACCAAGTCATCATTCTGTATTGGACAAAGTTTGTTGAGGAGTTGATCACTAAAGTTTCTTTTGAGAGATATAACTTCACCGCCCTCTACATGTTCAGCTTTCAGACCATCTTCTAAAATGGAGTCAACATCATCAATAGAAACCAAATCATCATCTTCAAGGTTTGCTTCTTCCTCCTGAATCCAATCAAACAAAGGTTAATGATGATCCACATACACATCCAATCTCTTCTTTTCATTGATATCGTCAAGAAACTCGTTAAAATCGCAGTAATTCTAAATAACATGTAATCCCTCCGATAACCTCACTTCATGTGGACAGTGATGCACATCTTTGCATCTTCCGTTAGTAAGCTTTTCAAGAAAGGGGATGAAATCAGGGAAGTTCATCTTGTTGACAACCGTGTATGGTACAAAGGCTTTCACTCCATTAAAATACATCAATGGAGTAGGTGTGAACACCCCATTATAGTGTACATCAATGATTGTATCTGCATCTTCTGCCATTGTTGATGGTGATTGTGAGTCAAGAAGTTTGAGGGATTATCGGTTAAGTGAATGGAGGAATGACTGATTAAATGAGCCCTAATTGTTGTTTCAATGTAGTGTAATTTAACAATATCCACGTAAGGTGACATGTGGATGCCACCTGGTTATTTCATTTCAAGAAAATATAATAAAATTCATATATGACCGGTATACCGGGTATAGCCGGTTAACAGGATTACATAATTACAAAAAATTGGATAGAAAGGTTTAATTTACAAAAAAAATAAAAATAAAAAATAATGCCTAAATACCTATATTTCAAAAAGTACCTTGACCTATCAAGTTATTTTTTCAAGAAAAAATTAATAATAGAAAAATGCTAACCACTATAAATGTTGTAAACTATTTATACTAAATGATCACAATTTAAATATGATCATATAATAGAATATACAATTGACAGATATCTGTTTTTAAATACAAAAATAAAAAATAATTAGAATACAAGACTGTTGTTGGTATTTAATGACTTGTGTGATTGGGTCAACATTTTCCGTCCGACCTTTGTGTCCACTTTCCTCGGGTTGACCGACGCTTTTTTCCTCTACCCACCCTTTCATGTGCCTCCAACTACATCTAACAAATAAATACTGCAAATACCTTTATATCTCATTTTAATATTCATCATCTTTAAATAATAAGCCATATTTCTGTAAATATACATATAATTATACAAATTGAATTAGGGTTTTTTTATATGAATAAAGTGAGTAATGAATAATAATGTTTGCATCGATAAAATGTTGTATATATAGATATAGATCGAATGAATTATAATTTACCTTTGCATTTCAAAATCAATTTCATAATATTAATCAATTACTATAACATATGTAGAGTTGCAAGAAAAAAAGAAAGATTAACAAATACGTAAAGGGTTAAGACGGTCCAGATTATTAATACATTATTAAGGCAATCTTTTTGGTTTAACTCATCAAGTCATATGGTCCAGATTAAATAAAAAAAAACAACATGTATAACCTATTAAAAAAAACCTAACATACGTGTTGAGTGTCGTGTAAAAATGATTAGTTTCTTATTACATCCAAAGATTCTAAAATATTGAACACAACTTATGTAATCAATGTCAACCTTGTATTTCTTTATATGTACGAGTACATCATATATATATAGACTATCGTGTGCGTGTATAAATATGTAAAATGTTACATACAAGACTTTAGACTCTAACAGTATGTAATCGATAAAAAGTGGGAAAAAAATGGACAAAAAGAATTAAACTCTTTGAAAATCACTCTAATTACTACTATGAAAAACCAAAAAACATCACCACCAAGTGTACTATGGACACAAGAAGAAGGACCGGAATTAGTTGGTATCGGGTGATCCGCAATGAACTGCCGCCGCCTCCAATCTGACCGGCGTTCACAACTTCACTTCTGCCGCCACTTGAGGTGGAGGAGACGTTTACATTTGTTTCACCTAACAACATAATTTAATCATTTTATTTTATTTTTCTTTAAAATAAATTTTATTCATTTTTTTTATATATAACAAACTCACAGTCATAATCCGCCCATCCAATCCTTTGACCACCCAAATCGTAAACGATAATCTTGTCCTTAAGAACAAGATCTACATAAAAACAAAAAAAAAAAAAACAAAACAAAAAATGTCAGTTTAAAGTTTTTTCAAGTCCCATGATATTATAAATACTATAATTTATAGTTTTATACCTCCTAAAATAGTAATTCCTTGATTCGGAATCGTTTGAAAGCCAATACACCATACTTCAGCCCCATTCTAATTTATTCCAATAACAAAAAACAGATTCAAGTCAATAAAATTTATAGTTTTCTACGGCTATTTTTTATGATAAGGGCATTCATGTCTTTTACACAAACGCGATCTTTTGAGGTGGGGAAAAATTATAATTTTTTTTGTCTTGGTGACATCAGTCTCAATCCTAGTCACGTCAAATGCAGTACAATCTGTTCTGTTCTGTCTTGTCCTGTGTATGTGTACCAGATGAGGGCTTAACATAAAGTCATATAACATTATTAACATACCACAGCATTCTGCTGAAGAAGGTAGTCCTGAGGCCTTAAATTCATCGAAGCACCACCAGCAAAGTTGAGACTTACAATGGGAAATATGTCCGATACACTGAAAAAAAGATAAAAGATTTGTATTAAATAACACCAAATATGAAGAGCTATAATTGTCAATGTAACTACAAAATTATGAGTAAGAAAGAAAACCTTGAAGTAATTAAATAACACCGATTTCCCTTTGAGATAAGTGGCTGAACAGATTGTGAAACTGACTGTGTGATCTGCAAGATTACAAAACCATGTTTGACCATTAGTCAAACATCTAGAAATTCCCTTAATGATGACAAATTAACGAACAAAAAGGCAGATTTAAAAAGTTTTGATGATGGGATTTTTATATTGTTTTCACTTACAGCATTTACAAAAGGGGTGTAAGCTCCTTCAGCAAGGTATCCCAAAGTTGTTCCAGAATCGATTATAGTACCTCCTTGATTATCATCAATTGCAAATACAGATGGATCAATGGACAATGTTTGACCATTGACTGAAATACTCTGTAGATTTACATTATAATGTGGCCTGAAAATGTTCATGAAAGGAAATAAATTAGAATTAGGTGGTGTTCCTTTTTGAGTTAATGAAGAAAGAAAACTTACTGTGATTTGACTAGTGGAGTAAAGACCATATTTGGCTCGATTATTTGACCAATTACTAAAATACCACCACCATTATCAGATCCAACAAGACAATGAGAGAAGGAATCAGGAGCAATCCCTTGTGAAGAAAGTTGTGAAATTACGGATAAACCTTGTTGACCAAATCCAAAGATCCCATCAACTGCTCTATCTGACTTAACCAAATCCCCAGTTTCAGTTGTGCTACAGCTGTTCAATTTGCATAAGCATAACTCACTAAATCAATAAAAAAAAAAAACAGAGAGAGAGAAAGAGAAAACTTGGTGATAAGTGATAAAACTTACCCAAATACAACAGAAGCTGAAGTATTTGATGATCTTGAATCAGCAACAACTGTTTCTAAATGCATCAAATCAGATACATAATAACCTGATGTTCCACTTCCATCTCCATATTGGAATGTGTAGCTACACTGATCATTTGAACAGCTGGAATCAGAAGATTGACCAGCTTGAGAACATCTTTGATCTGAACATGAGATTGGAGATGATGTTGATGAGCTTGAAGGATCATAGAAGGAAACTGGAATCTGTTCAATAAATAAAAACATACATGCAATCAATACTAGTTCATTAATTCATAAAAAGTCGCCCTTTTATTGAATGAATGAATATATAAGATATGATAAGCATACTTGGAGTCCACTTGATTTAGGGCAACCATTGCAAGGGCTGCAACCCACCCATAACACATCACTTCCTGTATCAATTTGTACATAATAATCCTTTGGAGGAGATCCCAATGTAACTTGCGTGTAATAAAGCCTACAAGATAACCCAATTTCAATATATAATTGCTTGTATATCACTCACAATAGTCTTTTCCGTTTAGGGTAACTACTGGTTATCTAAAGATCACTGCTTGAATATAAAGGAACGAAATTATCTACAAGCAGGAAGTTCAAGTTGACCGAATGATGAAATGTCTGTAATTCGAGAAATTTTAAATTCATAAACAAAAATTGAGGAAGTTCGAGTTACCCAACGCGATAAGGATCATAAGTGCCTTTGACAGGGAAATCAATAACACCTCCTGAAGGAGACTGTTGTTGCAATATCCTACGGTGTCTCAAATTGTCTCTATCTCTAAGATGACTCAATTCAATTCGGTGGTTCACCGGAAAAGCTCTCTCCAACTTGAGAGTCGCCGGAAACCCACATCGAACAACCGACGCCTGCAGTAACAGAAAGATAACGGCGCCGAGTAATGTTGAAGTAACCGGATTTTGAATAGAAACTGGCATTCCTGATCTCTCCTCTTTCCTGAGTTCTTCCCCTGTATCAAGATTAATTCTACGAATTAACTGAAAAGCATACACATGTGTATGCTTATAGGTTGCTTGTATGAAGATTGCCAATCGTGTTTTGTAAATTTCAGGCGGAATTGAAAGGGCATAAATCAAGGAGTGGTTGATTTTGCGCCGGAGATGTTTGAAAAACTGTATTACACACGAATAAATCAACTTAATCAACCTGTCAATAAATACTCCTTTTGTCGTGCTGATATTCCTATAATTTTTTAAAACAAGTTACAGAAGTGACCCCTCGCCTATGGTTTAACTTACATTTATAGGACAATATGACAATTTTAGTATTTTAACGGTAATCCAGACCATTTTTGTTAAGTTGAGAATGTCAAAACAGAAATGTGTGTATCACATGCCGTAATGTTTTTTTCAAAGAAAAGATCAACCACGGATAACTGACTATACACTGTTAAATATTTAAAATACAGTATTGTTGTATTATTTATCAAAGTACAGGGGTCATTTGTGAAAAATTTCGTGCATACCATCATCATATACGTGTACGGTGACCACTGACCAACCGACCTTTTGTTTATCAGCTTTGACATAAACCCAAATCGTGCATCGAAGACTTGTACTAAATAAAGATTATGTACATATACGTGTTTGAATGTTTTGACAACAAGGCAAATTAATGCATTGAAGACTTGTACTATGTTGCAAATCTCTTGCACTCTACTAGATGATATAATAGAATCTTCTTCGCAATTTGTTAATGCATTTTGACTTGGTAAATATTTTGTGTAAGATGATTTTATTATGTCTTCATTATGGTCAACGAGACTATAAAGTAGATTAGGTGAACTAATTCAACGATTAATTATGAATTTAATCAGATGATTGCTTGCAACTATCCAGGTTGTTTTTGAGAATTTGTATAGTGGTATTAAACTGTTAATAAAACAAATTTTGTATGCTTTTGTCAATTTATATAAGCATTTTCCAGTTTGTTATTATTATTATTATTATTATTTTTTGGAGAGGGGAACTCATCCGTGAATCCAGAGATGTCACTTGTTTCCGAATCCCATTTGTGCAAGGATACATGAATTGAAAAAAAAAATGTTTAAATAAAAGCAATGGTAATGTTTTTAATATTGCTTACAATTAAACATGTGTGTTTGAATATTTGACTTAGATAAATGCAATGTTTAAAATCCAATATAAATCGTGTTCATCGTTTTCTTTTTTATTCTCAAGTTATTTGTCAAAAAGACAGGTACTTGTGTCAAGCACGTGTGTTTTAAACTTGGTATCAACACAAAGCATAAATGCATTATGTTACAGAAAATATATACATGAAAGCATAGGTATAAGTTATAATCAAACAAGATTATCATATGAGCATCGTACAATCTACCATAGTTATCAATTGAGCGTAAAATAGCTTCTTTTTTTTTTTTTTTTTCCTACTGAAATATACTTGATAAATAAATAAATTAGCTGTTCCACATAATCCAATTTTATGCAAGTAATTTGGTTTTTTTCTTCTAATTCCATCACAATAATTCATGTAATGTATCTTTACTTAGCATGGTGGGTTGTCCCCACAATTTTTTTTTTGAATATGTATCCATTACCATCAACATGCTTTTACATAATTGACTCATATTTTAACTATTAAAAAACTTTATAAAATAGACTTGAATATCTTTCACTTTTAGTATGGGAACACCTTTTCTATTGTGGTATCAAAAACTTTGTATTTGTTGTTTTCCTCATTTACATGATTTATATAAGATAGTTTATCCACATAAAACAACTCATTGATACGGAAATGTCCGCACCTCTATGAATTTGAGCCTAAATATTTTTAATATTTTGTAATAGGCACGATGCTAAAAGTCGTTGTAATCCCTTTACGAGTTTAGGAAAGTTTCTATTTTTTTTTTTTTTCCAACAATTTTAAAGTGAAAAATTAGGATCATGGCTATTAAAAATATTATTCAAGTCATCGATTGATTCTATAATCATCAAATTTCTCAAACATAAAGTAGTTAAAGAAATGAAAACAAAATTTGACAACTGTACTTTTAAACAACTGGAAATTAATTTATAGACTCGGTAATAATTGGATATCTAAAATAGTAATGTTGCTCATTATGTGGTTTGTTAGTTTGAATAAGGCTTTGCACTATAAATATATTCAAATTCAATAACTTTCAATTTCTTTTAGAAGATACATGTACTCCAATAATGGAACCGGTTTGAAAAGGATTTTTTTTTAACGGCGAAAAATTTATAAAAAAACAACAGGACCTGTAAAACAATTGTGAAGTGCAAGTTAGAGTAAATTACACATTTGATTCCTTTGTCATGCATTTTTCTATAGGTTTGATCATAATTTTAAAAATTGATATCAGTCATCCTTACGGATAGTAACGGATTTAGAATAACCTAGGGTATAATTAAAAAAAATTATCATGTCATTGAAAAGAAAAACGAATTACATTTTAATTTGTTATTTATAAGTTTTTATATTTTAGGAAATTTTTTAATTATATAAACACATGTTCTTTTTTTTTTTTTTTTTTTTTTTTTTTAATAACTTTTTAAGAAAAATCAACACCCTAATTAAAGAAAAAAGACATGAAAACTAACGACTTTACAACTTTAAATTGAATACATCAAAATTTCAAAATTTTAAACCACGTTTCTTATTAAATTTTCATAGAATTTATTTTTTCTCTAAATTTCTAGAGAATCTTGATATATAAAGTAAACACTTTTGTTGTAATTGTGTCGATGAGAGCACACAAGCATTTAAATGATGATATGCAAACTTAGTATTTATTGTTTTAAAAAAATGAATTATTTAGAAAATTAGCACTTGTACATGGGAGATGATTTGCACACAACAATTTTTCTTCACACACAACAATTGATGCTTTAAATGTTGTATTGTACAACTTTATAATACATAAATTGTTGTGTATGATAAAAAACTGTTATGTACGAATCACTCAGGGCCAATCCTAGCCAATTTGAAGCCTGGGGCGAAATAGAAGATGAGGCCCTTGAAATTACATAATTTTATATTCAAATGATTTCATGTACTAATTCACTAAAATTACAATTATTTGATGTTGCTACCGCTTAAAAAATAAACTTCATCGATGAATGCATGTTTGAAGGCTTTCAAGTTTTGATAAATATATCTTTCTCGATGCATAACATAGCTATGTCATGTTCATAAATTTTCATTAGGCAAAAAAAGTGAACAAAACCACTATATTTGTACCACATTAGAGATATATCTAATCGAGGAGGCAAGCCATAAGACACATCGATAATTTGAGATTGCAATACAGTAAAAAAAAAAAAAAAAATTAAACGAAAAAGAAAGTTGATTCTGTTTTACATCTAATTGTTGAACTTTATATTAAAATTGTTACCATAGTAAATACCAAATTAAATATGAATACAAAATTTTGATTTCTACAATGAAATTAGCAAACAGGATAGAAATTAAAAAAAATAAATAAATAAAAGGAATGAAAAGGGAATCGCTTGCGTCATTTTGAGAGCCACAAACAACCTTTAATAATTAATAAGTAAAAAATATATTAAAAAAAATCAAAACATATTTCTTAATAACTGAGAAGTTGTTTGCGAGGGAGGCACACAACATTTAATAGATTATTAAGTAAAATATACCATTAAAATTTTTAAAAAATGCATTTCGCAAGGATCCAACCGGACATCTACAACTTTAATTACTACCAATCTATCATCTCAACTACAAGCGCAATATACTTTTTTAGCCGCATACTATATTTTATATCATAAAAATCATATATATACATTAATCGTAAATTTTAGAGGTCCTGAGATTTAGCGAGGCCCGGGGCGGTCGCCCAGGTTGCCCATACCCTAGGGCCGGCTCTGGAATCACTTCTCAACTTTTTGTACAAGATCAAGGTATGCAATAATGCAAGTGCATACTATTATTAAACACTAGATTTGTCCATGCTTACGGTTTCCATATTCATTAGATATGGTCCTTTAGCCAATTACCATCCATCCAACTCCGTTAAATTCTCGTAAAATCATTTTTATATCTATAGTTCTACATAATGTTAAACGTGACTTGACGTTAATGTTATGCCTCAAACTTTTACTAGTTGTGTTGAGCCTAGTCATTTGTAACACAAGACTTAAGGCGGTGATTTTGTAAATAATTAATAAATCTATATATATATATATATATATATATATATATATATATATATATATATATATTCTAGTATTATTTATTTTTATATACACATATAACTTAAGACGTCATTTTGTTAAAGTTTGGCGTTAAGTACAAGACTTAGAGTCATGACGCGCCATGACGAGTTTTTAGAACCTTGTTTATACCTCTCTTTTTACTATTATATTAACTCCAAGAACTATTTTTGTAAATTTTCGAAAAAACCTAAACAGACTAAATGCTCATCTATCACCATGTGATCTCTTCTCTACAACTCCAAGAAATCCTTCGGCCTCATGTTGCCAACATTGATGTTGGAACACACTGTCGATCATTGTCTCCAATGTATCCAACATCTCCTCAAGCCAACACATCCTCTGTTTCTTGAGCCCATCTTTACAACCTCGATCATCATTCTCACTACATTTATCCTCTTATTGTTGGCTCTCTCTCTCTCTCTCTCTATATATATATATATATATATATATACACACACACACACATCTCTCTCTCTCTCTTAGCAAGACCAATGTCGTCAATCTCCTTTAGGGATGAGTGTTTGTACCTCTGGATCGGACCGCAATAGGATCCAGATTGGGTTTTTAGAGTAGGTTCGGTTAACGATTCTTTGAATCATGCAAAAAATTTGTTCGGGTACAAAACCGGGTAGATATGGTCTAACAAGTATTTGTTTTAAAGTAATAGATGAAGTTACTTTGCTAGGGTTTCAACGAGTTGTTTCATGTGCACCTAAAGTTACCGGTCCAATGAGTACAAGAACCAAAAAATTGGATCTATATCTAGACACAATAAGCCTCAACAAGTTCGATTCATGGTCCACCATTTTTTGCTAAACTGGTCAATACAGATGCTCACCCCTAACTTTTTTCTCCGTGCACCACTGCTAAACCATCGTTGATCTCATTCCCCTCCAAACACTGATATCATTCTTTTATAGGGTTAAAATGATTTTAATTTTTTTTTTTTACAGATTTTGGTTTAATTTTTTTGTTCCTGTTTCATTTAGTTTTGAGTTATAATGTGGTGAAAAATGATGATGGTAGTACTTGTTGTCTATGGTTGTGGAAAACGGACTAATAGCCTATAGGTCATTTGGTTATAATAATATTATTAGTATTAATAATAACTTTAAAAACAATAAAATATAAAATTTGAAAAAGACAAAAACATACGCATTTTAAGTATTTCATACGACTTAACGAAGAGGATTTACGGTAACACGGATAGGGATCATATATGATAAATTTGAAAACCATAAGAATGTTTTCTATCAACTTTTAAAAAATATGATCAAACTACAAAAAGACATATACCAAAGGACAAAAACCG